CACTTACTCCTAGCTGCATTTCCCATCTTAAGTGTGTGCATACTTTCAAGGTCAGGCAGGCAGGCAGAGCTGTCAGGGAGAACTGCAAGTTGTCAGTACTGAAGAGGGACCAAGGTATCAACACCCTTCAGTTTTTACTACTGAACTTACCTAAACCTTCTTTAAGTTAAGACTTCTGGATGGAACCAAATTCTTACAGAATTATATTATCTAAGAATTTGTTGGGCTTCCCTGGAGGCTCAGATAGTAAAGAATCTGCCTGGGATGCAGAAGATCCAGGTTTGAGTCCCATGTCAGGAAGATTCCCTGGAGAAGGGAATGGCTACCCACTCCAGTATTCTTGCCTGGAGAATCCCATGGACAGAGGAGCCTGGTGGGCTACTGTCCATGGGGTCACAACAAGTCAGACACAACTGAGCGAATTTTTCAGTTAATACATAGATTTCTTATACTTCTCATGGTTAATGTAGTAGCACTTTTATATTTTCCTTTTAATTTTATAAAATATTTCAGGAAAAATACAGAGGTAGCATAATATATTTATCAAAAGGACTAGCTCAATACTGGAATGCCAGAGTTCAAATTCAATATTGCCATTACATAAGTTTATTAACTCCTCTATGCCTCAGTTTTCTCATCTCTAAAGTGGCAATAATAGTACCTGTTTTATAGGTTGCTATGAGAATTGATGAGTTAATGTTTATATAGTTCTAAGAAGATTGCTGCCTTGTTGTGAGTACAAAAATTTTTATATACATATATTAAAAAAATTCTTTTAAAAGTTATACATACATTCTTATAAACCCAACATAGCACCATTCTGCACTGTTTGTTTAAAAGTGTCAATAATACTAGTAAAATAACAGTTAACTGAACACTTTCTATGCACCAGGCATTATATGCACTATTTTCATTCTGTCTTCAGAACCATCCTATGACTACCATTACAATTATTATTGCTTCACCAATAAGGAAATAGAAATTGAGAATTCAGATTTCTCCCAGGACAGACCTGCAGACTGATTATAACTCGTGTACCCTGAACACACGCACACATTCACACACACAAATATCAATTGAACTAAAGTCAAAGACCTTTGCTTTTCTATTACAAAGTGCATAAAATTAAAATACACAGACAACTATTAATTATTTACTAGTCTGTTTAATAAGTTTTAGGTAGAAAACATTTTCACCACTGCAACTAATTCTGCATGAATATCATACCTTTTGGGCAGAATCAAGTGTTTACAATACATCGTGCTGTCTGTTCTGATGGACACTAGATGGCAATCCAAACCAACCAAAGCTTAATTTGGTGACTGGTACGTTACATTTCCCCCAGTCCCTTATGTAATCATTAACTTCTGATAAATTTGGGCTTTCCAGATGACAGTAGTAAAGAATTCACCTGCCAGGAGACCAAGGTTCAATCCCTAAGTAGGAAAGAATCCTTGGAGACGGAAATGGCAACCCACCCCAGTATTCTTGCCTGGAAAATTCTCTGTCCATGGAAGGTGGGCTAGTCCATGGGGGGTCGCAAAAAATCAGACAAGGCTGAGCAAGAGAAGTCAATCAGTCAGTGATAACAGCTTTCTGTCTCTTTCGGTGAACAGAAATTTTTATTCCTCTTTTTCTTGACAAATGATCATCTTGATACCACTGGTTAGTCCCAAGACTTCAGCAGGTCTACAGGCAGGCAAGAATAAGGAAGGAATCAATAATCCTATCTGGATTTGGGGAATAAGAAAATAAATAAGACAGGCTCTACCCTTAGAGTGGAATTTGGCTGCTGGAGACCCCCAAAAAAGATATGGAATATGTCAGATGTGGTAAAGGTCAGAGTGGACATGAAAAGGAGGAAACAATCAATTTTACTTGAGGCTAGAAGTTAAACATAGACCCTTATAAAAGCAATTTTAAAAATGCTAAATTACCTTTCTTTCTATTTTTAAAGTAAAAATGACCAGTGAGGAGGATGACAGAAAAAAACAAAACAAAAACAAAGACTATTGTGCAACGATAGTAACACTGGAACTCTCCTGGTTAAGGGGTATCAATTATGACAATGATGGTGATAATAATAATTGTAATAACAAATTTATTACACTATGTACTAATAAGGATAAAATTATGTGGAGGCCTTATGACTTAGCGATGTGCTTAAGATCAACCCAGTACCTTCACTGTAACACACATGCGCCAAACCAAGCCACAAGAAGTGGACTGCACTAAAGTGTAAGTTGTATAAAAGTCCAATTAAAACTTTAATAAATGAGTTTGCTCTGGCCTCGAGCCTTTGCCCAAAGGCATTTGCAATGTAGGATGTCACTGACGCCAATAGACACTAGATGACGCTCCAAACGCACACTGCCCTTGATGGACAGCTGATGCTCCTGGCTGCCTGGCTAAGTCATCGATCATTAATTTGGGTTGAGATATTACTCAGAATATTTCATACTCATTCTTACACAGTCTCTTCATGGACAGAAATGATTATTACCTACAAATGACAGTGACTGTGTTGAGAGGCTGTGAGAGTGGACTAAGTACCCTTGAGTGGTCAAGCAGTAGGCTGACCAATAGGACCTTTGCAGTCAATACTCTATAAAGAGGAATACATTATCAAACAGACTAGAAACAAGTGGTTGATTCAATCACTTTTTTAAACAGTTACTAAGGAGGAAAAGCACACATAACTACCCCCATAGTGCATACCGTTTAGAATAAAAGGAAAAACATAGAAGAGAATGGACAGAAAGGTTTTACATCTGTTGGTATAGTGCAGAGTAGAGACAAATGGAGGAAAAGGCTAATTTTACCCTATCATGGGAGTAGAAACCTTGGGGAGAAGCCACTTTAATTGTGTCCTAAATGTGAGCAGCAAATTAGGCACAAGAACCCCAGGGACTTCCAGTCTGTCCAGTGGTTAGGACTCTACACTTGCAGTTCAAGGGGCATGAGTTGCATCCCAGGTCGGGAACCTAAGATTCCACATGCTGTGTAGCATGACCTAAGAGAAGTCCCCAGAATCCAGAGACCTAAAGAGACTGCATATGTTTTATCTTTTAAAATTATTATTATTTTAACTGTGAAATAACCACTAACCACAATATAGACAATCTGCAAGTGGATACTGATCTGTTACCTGGTAGGGAGCAGCATCCTCAGGTAAAAAAAAAGTCATTGATGATATTAATATTATATTTGGAAAGGTAATAATAATAAATGTGATTTAGCTGTGATTATTTGCCGGGCACTTTGTTGAGGGGTTCATTTATCAACTTGGGGGTTTCTTAAACTTAATTCTAAGTATCATTTTATGAAGCAACTATTATCACCACCTCTTTACAAAACAAGAAAATTGAGACAGAGAGTTGAAGTGGCTTGCAATATAACTTTGCCTTGCAGATTGATTATAAGTTATGTGCCCTGAAGGCATACACATATACTCATCAGAAATAAGATATAATAGGGTAGTTTACAAAAACTGTACTAAAGTGAGCAAGAGTAGACTTGTTGTTTTTCTCATCGGTAATGAAAACAATATATATGGACAGTTTTCATTTGTAGATATTAAATATACAGGACATTTTCTCCCTTAAAGTCTCTAAGGCTCTTCAAAGAGCTGAAAGATAACAATTGACAAAAATATTCATTGCATTGGCCTCAAACTCTTTGCAAATGATACACTTCATTATGCTATGTCATTCATTCTGATGGCACTCTAAACCAGAACAGTTTGTTCCTAATCTGTCAGGTCTGTTATTATTACCCTCTAGGAGTGTCATTATCTATTAAAAGCTGTAAAATTTCATTCATGTAGAGTATCATTTTGTGATCAGAGTTTATTATCCCCATTTCACAGATATGCAGATTGAGGTTCAGAGAAGCCAGAATAAGGCCAAAGTAAAGATACATTTTTCCTTTTCTGTAGCTCTTTGGAGTTCTCCTCTATTTACTAGATGGTATGCTGCCTGACTCATGAATCATTCAATAAAGTCAATTCGATTTTAAAAATTTACTGTGATGAATTTTGTTTTTTAACAGTAGGTTAGAGACTGGTTAGGGGGATGGTGGAATTTGGAGATGATGCCTAAAAGGTACTAAAAGGTTTCTTTGTGGAGGGGATGAAAAATGTCCTAAATTGATTGTGGTATGGTTGCTCACCTCTATAAACTTTAAATGGATGAATTGTATGTAAGTGAATTTTATGTCCGTAAAGCTGTCACCTATGAAAAAAAAGTAATTGTACAGTCAACCCCCCATGTACTCATCATCAGTGTTCAACATTTTCTCCACCCTATTTCATATCTCCATACTTTTCAAAATTTCCAAGTTTGAATTTTTTCTTGGATAGCAAAAATTTGCATACATGCTTTTAAAGGTATGACTGTATTTACTAGACATTTAAAGATTTTAGGGAAATCCTTTTTCTTAAATATTTTTTAATATCCTTTTGAAAAGTCTAAGACAGTAGTTTTCAAACTTTGTTGTGTTGGGGTGGGGGAAGGGGTTGTTTAAAATCCCAGTGCCCTAGTGGCATTGCACAGAAATTAAATGGGTGTCCCAGGGCTATAGGAGAACATCTATAGGTTTTACGATTCTCCAAATGATTCCAATGAGCAGTAGTTCATGAAATGTAACTATAAAAGCTATGAAAGATACTTCAATAGAAAGGATCTAATCTGTTAAGGTTATGATTTAACTAAATTCTGATCAAAGAATAAAATGAAGTTTTTATGCAAAAAATATTCGTAAATTGAATATCAAGATTGGCAAGTTGAACTTAAAATTTTGAAAATGTGTACCTGAATATTCAAGTTATTTAATATTTAAATGGTAAATATTTAGATCAGAAAATCGTTAAATATATTCTCCTCAATCAGCATCCTCTCGGGATTTAAAAAACCAGAGACACAGCTGTGTGACCGAGTGTTTCCCAAGCAGGTACTCTGGGTTGCAGGAGAGAGAGATCAAGCGCAGGAGACCCATTTCTTTTCAGCAGCAGCCCGGAAAAGGATCCCACTGGCCAGGAAGTTTCATCTGGGATCCCCGGAGCCTCGGCAATGGCTCCAGGGTGACTTCTTGGATCATCCCCGTTTCCCCGCCCTACCCAAGCGGCTGAAAAGCGCCGGGACGCGCGGTCCGAGCCGGGAAAATGGGCCCGCGAGCCCGGCCAGCGCTTCTGCTCTTGATCCTCCTGCGGACGGCGGCCACGCAGGGGCGACCGCCGCGTGAGTCCCGGGGCTGCGGGCCGGAGAGGGGCGCGGCGGGGGAGGCAAAATCGAAACTAGCTTTTCTTAGCGCTGGGGAGTTCGCTAAACTCCGAAGGACTGCTCAGTCCTGCCCGCGGTGCCCTCCACCAGCTTCTCCCGGGGGGGCATGCGGGCCACTGGGGGTGTCGATGGGGTTAGGGGACCTCCCGTCCCAAGACCTTGACCCCTCACTCCCCGCCCACTCCCCGTCCTCGCTGCCACGCGTGGCGCTCGGAACCATCCACTCCTCCCAGTTTGGACGCTTTGAGAATAGAAATCTCTCATTGAGGTCGAGCTAGGATTAGGGGTCCTTGGCCTCCGATCTCGGTTTTCTTGTTTCTACTGTTAACCGAAGCGACTTAGCACGCCCGCACTGTCGATTGTGTCCTTTCACCCCCGATCACGCCCCAAACAGGAAATTCTCACCAAGGGCGACCTTGGCCGGAGTGCCCCCTCCGGTGTTTCCACGCCCGGGGGCTCCAAGGCTGGAAGGCAGGGCTCAGTGAACACACAGTGAAGGCCGCCGGGTTTCCATTTCCGAACCACTGGCACGGACTGAGGATGGGAGGTTCTTGAGAGAGGTCGGCCAGGGGCCTTACGCTTGGGGATTGTTCTTTTGCCTGGAAAAGTAACCTGCCTGATATTTTTGAACTTTTGAACTGAATCTCACAGTTCTTTTCAGCCCGAAGTTGTTAATTTGCAATGTTAATAGTACTGTATATAAAGGAGGCCAAAGAGATGATAGTTAGCCTGTGAGTAAAGACCTCAGTTTTAAATCACCTTCCTATCTGTGATCTTGCTTGACTCTACTCAGGCATTGGGTGGTAGGAACTATTCATATCTTGATTGCGCTAGTGGTTAAAAACTTCAGGTTAAATCCTTTCCCCAGGTTACAAAGAATTCAGACAGTCTGGTTTTCTGACATGAAGAACCACGGTTGTAATCTTGGCTGACAGTGTTTGCCCTCACTGTTGTCTGGCACAGCTCTGGATGCTTTATACATCGACAGAACCACACTTGGAGGTTAGGTCGTATGTGTATCCACACTTTATAGATGATGAGAACAAAATAAGACCTGCTCACCAGTAACTTTGTTCAGTGTTACCCAGGGCCCTTCATAGTTGCGTTTCCTAAAAGTTACTCTGCATTAGAGGTTAAATCATAAAATCTGATGAAGGAAAATCTTCACTGACTACAAGTGTATCAAGAGCAGGGAGCCGAGTCCTCTGATGCTTTGCCTTCGAGTAGATGGGGATGACAATACACAAAGGGCTAGAGAGTATCAGGTAATGGGTAACCTGTGAAGCAAGGAGGTCAGGGTAGGCCACTCTCCTCGGCTGGGTTTGAGCAGAGACCTGAAGTAAGTTTGACGCTCATTGGGAGCAGCGCTTCCCGGACAGGCTAGGGGGACCTGGCAAGGATTTGCAACGTCAGCACTCATCGACATCTTTTGTTGTGGGGACTGTCATATGTACTGTAGGTCATTTAGCAGAGTCACTGTCCTTTACCCGCTGGATGTTAGTACACTCCCCAGTCGTGACAACCAAAAATGTCCCAGGCATTGCCAGATGTCCGTAAGAAAATAAATGTCCTGATTGAAGAAAGAGCAAGGGCTCCAGAGGCCCAGACAGGTGATGGGTTCAGCAAAGGAGCCATGAGCGAATCCCTTAGGGCCTCACAGGTTGCAGTATGGACTCCAAACCAGGAGTGATGTGATCAAGAATACCTGTTGAAAAGATCTCTCTGGCTGCTCTATGGAAAGCAGAATGAAGGGAGCAGTGATGAAAAAAAAAAAAAGGACGAAACAGACAGGCAAGAGATGATAGACTGGGCCGGGTGGGAGTGGAGGTGGTGGTGAGAAATTATTCTATTCTGGATTTATTTTAAAGGAAGTTGCTGAGGGATCTATAAAGGATCATATGATAGAGAAAAGTCAAGGTGGCTCTATTATTATTTTATCTTTATTTTATCAGCCTCAGCAACAGGGGGATCAGTGGTGTCATCTCCAAGGTGGTGAAGGTAGAAGAAAGAGCAGTTTGGGGGCAACCAAGAGCCTGGTTTTAGACTTGTTCAAGTTTGAAATTCCAATGAGTTATCCAACTGGTGGTATCATATAGGCGAGTTGGAGAGTAAGAATCTAGAGTTCTGGGTCAGAGGTCAAAATCTAGAAGTCGGCATTTAGTCATCCAACAGGTATGTATTAAGCATCTACTACATGCCAGACACTGTTCTAGGCATTGTGGATACACACTGAACTCCCCCATCTAGAATTAAGGGACCCCCCCCCCCAACAACAACAAAAAAAAATAGAATAAAGGGAATGCATAAGAAAACTCACACCTGCCCAGAGGCCTGTCCTCTTGGGCTTTCTGGCAGTTTTTTCACATTTGCATTTGATTTGGAACTGTTTTGATGCTGAAAGATACCCTGAGCTATTTATCAGCACATCTTCCAGCATTTAACAGCAAACATTTATAGGCAGACCTCAGAGATGTTGTGGGTTCAGTTTCAGACAACCACAATAAAGGGAACATCATAAGAAAACAACTCAAAGTGTTTGGTTTCCCAGTACCTGCCCAAGTTGTGTTTACTACACTGTATGCTGTTAAATGTACAACTGTATTGTCTTAAAAAAAAACATACGTACCTTAATTTTTAAAAAAAGTATTGCTAAAAAATGTTATCCATCATCTGAACCTTCAGAGAGTCAAAATCTTTTTATAATAGTAACACCAAAGATCACTGATCACAGATCACCATAACAAATAGAACAATAATGAAAAAGTGAGAAATCTTGTGAGAATTACCAAAATGTGACACAGAGATATAAAAGTGAGCAAAGGCTGTTGGAAAAGTGGTACCGATAGACCTGCTTGACATGGGGTTGCCAAACACCAATTTGTAAAAAAAAAAACACATTAGCTTCAAAGGAAAAAAAAAAAAAAAAAAAAAAAAAAAAAAATGAGGTCTGTCTGTAGAGGAAAGGGTTTAGAGATGTAAGTAGTGATAAAAACCAGACAATAATTCCTCTGGACTTGGATCTAATTGGGTCTGAGCATCAACTCCAGAGCTCACCTGCCCTAGCTAGACACATCTTGGGATTTTCTAGAATCTGTTGTCCCCAAGGGGAGGCTGCTGGAATTGTGAGTTCTGGGTCAGAGGCTGGGGGCTGCAAGGGGGTGGCACCTCACATGGCACAAGGAGGGTCATGGGGAAAAAGGGTCATGGGGAGGGAGGGCACCACCCACTTTCGCAGGGGGACCAGACACAACTAGTTTGAATAGATTCTGATCATGTGCAGACTCCCAGTCTCCTATGCGGCCTGTCGCCCTCTCCCCAGGGTCACACTCCCTGCGCTTCCTCTTCATGGGCGCCTCCAAGCCAGACCTTGGGCTACCCCTGTTTGAGGCTTTGGGCTATGTGGACGACCAGCTGTTCGTGTCCTATGATCATGAGAGTCGCCGTGCAGAGCGGCGCGTCCCGTGGCTCTGGGGCAGGGCCAGCAGCCAGCTGTGGCTGCAGCTGAGTCAGAACCTGAAAGGCTGGGACCACATGTTCATCGTGGACTTCTGGACCATCATGGACAACCACAACCAGAGCAAGGGTGCGTGGAGAGCGGGTCTCACCTTCCCAAGGTGGGCGGCGTGTATCCCTGCTTCACAGATGCATCTTGAGGGAGGTTTGAGATCCTGGCTATTTGAGGTCCTGGGGGGCAGAGAAAAGGGCAAGTGTTTGCTTCCTGAAGTTGTTCAGTCCCTGTAATGGTTCCTGTAATCCCTGTAAGGGCTTCCCTGGTAGCCCAGACAGTAAAGAATCCACCTGCAGTGTAAGACCTGGGTTCAATTCCTGGGCTGGGAAGATCTCCTGGAGAAGGAAATGGCAGCCCACTCCAGTATTCTTGCCTGGAGAATCCCACGGACACAGGAGCCTGGCAGGCTACAGTCCATAGGGTCGTCGCAAAGAGTCAGACACGACTGAGCGACTAACATACACACAATGGCGGAAACGGGGGCCTGCTCCTTTGGTTTCAGTAACGAAGCTGGGGGCCTTGCCAGAGTCCCACACCCTGCAGGTGATCCTGGGCTGCGAGCTGCAAGAGGACAACAGCACCAGAGGGTTCTGGAAGTACGGGTATGATGGGCAGGACTATCTTGAATTCCGGCCTGAGACACTGGATTGGAGAGCAGCAGAGCCCAGGGCCCAGATCACCAAGCTGGAGTGGGAAGTGAACAAGATTCGGGCCAAGCAGAACAGGGCCTACCTGGATCGGGATTGCCCTGAGCAGCTGTTGCATTTGCTGGAGCTGGGGAGAGTGCCTCTGGAGCAGCAAGGTATGGTGGGAGCACTCTCTGGCCCTCTCGTGATGGGGTGGATGGGATTGCAGGGTACGGGATCCCCAGCTGGGGTTTCAGAGATGGCCGATGTTGTATGACTCTCTGGGAAGGTACTGAGGCCTGAGTTTTCCACCTCGAGGTTTCCCCCTTACAGTTGAGATGTATCATCTAGCTGTGAGTCATGATTTTAATTTTTTTCCATGCGCATAGCTAAAGAAAAAGTAACTGTGATTTTTCTCTCGATTTAACCAAGAACCCTATTCCCATTTATAACTTTTAGGGATTCAGAGATGCCAATTTTCATATGAATGAATACCAAGGCAAGAAATTACCTAATAAGGCAATCAGTCAGATAAGCACAACCTTGAGGGGTCAAAGCTACTTTCACAGACCATACTAGTAGTCACGAAGGCTGACTATATGATAAGACCCCTTCCTACAAGAATACTTCTCAGGTTGAACCAGGTGAAATTACCAAGAGTACATATTCAATCAGTTTTGATCTTCATAAGGGGCAGTTTCAGGCTTCCCAAATGGTGCTGGTGGTAAAGAATCCACTTGCCAATACAGGAGATATAAGAGACATGGGTTCAGTCCCTGGGCTGGGAAGATCCCCTGGAGGAGGGCATGGCAACCCACTCCAGCATTCTTCCCTGGAGAATCCCGTGGACAGAGGAGACTGGTGGGCTACAGTCCATAGGGTCCCAAAGAGTCAGACAAGACTGAAGTGACTTAACACGCACACACACACAAGGGGCAGTTTCATTTGATTCAACTTAAAGTATTAACAAAGAACATAGCACATGGGCAACAGGTGTGCATATTTCCATGTGGGACTGGAGAACAGGCTGCTATGACTGTGACTGGCACCACATCAGAACTGAATCATGTATTTTAGGACATGAAATGGTGGTGTGTCTTTCCTACAGCCTGCTCTGTCTGCACAGGGTGACTGCTTCAACCTGTAGAGAAAGGGAAGTGAAAGTTGTAAAGAAAGGGAAGTGAAAGTGGTAAAGAAAGGAAGTGAAAGTTCTGGTCTTCCTGGCATGGGTAGGAAGAGTCCGTCTCCAGATCCTCCCTTCTTCCTGTCCAGCACCTCCTTTGGTGAAGGTGACTCATCACGTGACCTCTGCACTGACCACTCTTCGGTGTCGGGCTCTGAACTTCTACCCCCAGAACATCACCATAAGGTGGCTGAAGGACAAGCAGCCCCTGGATGCCAAGGACGTTAAGCCAGAGGATGTGTTGCCCAATGGGGATGGGACCTACCAGGCCTGGGTGGCCTTGGCCGTGCTCCCTGGGGAAGAGCAGAGATACAGCTGCCAAGTGGAGCACCCAGGCCTGGATCAGCCCCTCACTGCCACCTGGGGTATGGATGAGAGGCAGGGGCTGGGAAAACCTGGTGTGGGCGGGCTGGGGGTGGTCAACAGGGCAGTCAGGGGAGGGTCTGCTCTGGGCTGGGGGCAGCATCATGGGCTTTCATTTGCTTTTGCTGTTTTAGAGCCCTCACTGTCTGGCACCCTGGTCACTGGAATCCTCAGTGGGATTGCTGTTTGCGTCATCATCTTCCTTATTGGAATTTTGTTCAGAATCTTAAAGAGACGGCAGTCTTCAAGTGAGTAGGAAGCAGGAGGAAGCCTCTTAGCACCACAGCACCCAGGACACTCTCATCTTCCTGCAGGAAGTGTGGCAGGTGGAGGCAAAGAAGATTTGGCATCCAGGAGAGGCCCTCTCTTCTTTTTTCCTTTGGGAACCCTGGCACCTCCCTGGGAGCAGGAATTTTCTGCTGATTTCCCAATCTGATTTCCCTTAGAATGAAAGCTCCTAACTCAACACACATCTGTCGAGTGCCTATTATTTGGCAAGGGGCTGTTTAAGGTAGTGCAGGTTCTCTGAGGTTAAGTCACCATTGCTATTCTCAGAACCCAAGTCTAGTAGGAAGTGAAATCCATGAAACAAGTAAATCCAGTTAAAGACCCCTGAAACTCCTATGAAGCAAATGCTCTTGGTAGGGTCAAGGGAAGGGAGGACCACATTCTCTGGGGATCAAGGATAGCTTCTGGATCTTGAAGAAGTAGGATTTCTTTAGGTGAGGTTGAGGATGAGGGGAGCTCTGTGCAGGTGAAGCAGCCGTGCATATGGGAGAGAGTGACACATGCTGGGGAGTGAGAAATTATCATCAATTTGACCCTTGACTTTACATACTTATCAGTCTGCATTTCTCCTTCCTGGACATCTATGGTGCAGGGGGGAAAGGGGTAGACAGAAGCCAGCTCCTGCAGAGCCTTAGGGGTCTTTGGGTTGTTATGGGGGTGGGGGCGGAGAGGGTCCGTGCAGGGACTTAAATCAGCAAAGGGGGACCCAATCTCTATGGTATGGAGAGTGAGTTGTTAGGAAGTGAGATAGGAGGCAAGGAGACCAGTTAGGCAAGGAGACTCAGCATTTGCAGATGCGAGATTATGGTGCCTGAAATCCAGGGGTTCCTTGGAAAGAGGGTGGTCAGAGTTGAGACGAGTGGATGAGCAGGCAGGGGAGGATCCGAAGTCTCTGACGCCTGTTTCCTGGACATGTCTTTGCAGGAGGAGCCGCTGTCAACTATGCCTTAGCCGAATGTGAATGAAGGGCAGCCTGCAGACCCTTGTGGGGCAGAGACAGAACTCAAGGCTCAGGGCGCACGTGCCTTTATGGTGTTCTTCATGCTCAGGACGATTGGAGCTAAGAAATGGGAACTGTCTCAGGAACTATCTGCTCTTAGCCTTCCTTCTTCCTTCTCAAAAAGTTCACCGTCTAGGTTTCTGAGTTCCTGCTTGTTAAAGGGCCCCAGCTGTGACTTCTGCCCCAGAAGCGGCTTTCCTGAATCTCTGGCTACATTTAGAACCTACGTTGATTTCCTGCATCACCTCAGACTTCGTACACCTACATCATCTCATCTCCTAACTGTGGAACAAGGTTCCTTAAATCTGGGGGAGGGGGGTGCTCGTGATTCCTTTAAACCTCTGAGAATAGCTTTGAACCTTCTCCTTAGGTCATACACTCTAATACCCCTATCAGAATTTGGCACACAGATCCAGGCAATTCCTGGACCCATTCAAGTTTCCTTTTAACCCTCCCTCTGTTATTGAGAACTCACTTGTCACCAAGCCCTGTGGTCTCTTCCGTCAGAAGGAGATCTGGACTGTTGTACAGCCGTGAAGGCTGTGCCCTGCACAGCCCAAGGAGGTACATTTTCCAGAAGAGGCATCCTTTCCTGGATGTTTGTGCCTAGTAGGATAGTCTTCTCTAAAATGGGTGAGAAGTGTCTTGGGGAAGGGTATCGTTTTCTAATTTGAGCAAAGGTGCCATGTGGGATTCCTTAGATTGATGACACCTGTACTTTTGCAATACCTCTTCTGTATGCCAGACTTGAAGTAGCACAGGATTTGATCTCCACTCACACCATCTCCTTGTTCTGATAATGAAAACAATAATTAAGATGATGATGATAATGATAAGGTGACTGACATTTAAAAAACTCTTATGTGGTGCCAGTCTTAGTTCTCTGAGTGCCCATTTACATGCATTATATCATATAGTTCTTACAATAGTTCTTTGACATCAGTACTATTATCCCCCCCCCCCTTTTTTAAGATGAAGAAAGTGAAGTTTAATATAGAGTATCTCATAGCTTGCCAGGGACAGAGATAGGTGTCAAACTCAGTCAGGCTGGCTCTTTGATCCAGCTCCTTGCTCCTGCATTCAGATGATTAGATACTTGGACTAAGTGGGGAAAGAAGGAGATGACTGCGGAGATGGTTCTTCTCTTGTCTCATTGTCTGTATTCTCAGCGACTTTGATTCAAGTACAGGGAAAAACAGCAGAAAACAATCTCGGCCATGCTTCCTCTCAAAGTTCCCAAGGGAAGAACCCTGGACTGTGACCGCTAACTTCTCCATTGCCATACTGGCCAGCTCTATCTGGCAGCACTCATGGGATTGAGATTGGGAGGTTCTGTGTTGGACCTCACAGAGTCCTGCTCCAATCAGGGCCACTAGGGTGTAGGCATTTTCCTCCATAAACCAGAGCAACCACTCTCATATTAAAGCTGGAAAAATAGAAAAAAAAAAAAAAAATATATATATATATATACACACACACCAGATAACTCATGTTTATTTCATGCTGCTGTGTACAACTGGTGGCATAACTATGTTCAAGGCTCTGTCTTGGAGGTTGGAGGGCAGATGCCTCAGACCAAATACAGCACAAAACTTTGTTTAGTAGGTACTAAATTTGGGCACAAAGATCTCAACTACTTATTTTAAACTTTTCTTTTTTTCTGGTTATGAAAGTTAAGTGGATAAAAGTACATATAATTTTTGCTTACTATAGAAAAGTTTAAAATGAGTTGAAACTATGCTTCCATTAGCCAAAGCTAACACTATTAACAGTTTGTGTATTTCTTCTCAGTATTATTGCTATATTAAAATACATAAAATTATCAAATGCATAGATTTTAATAAATGCATAATTCATTGTGCATGATTTTCCTGATGCATTTGTCCATCTTATGTATCCACTTAATCAGCTTCATCATTACATTATTTTGGGGACATTTATACTGCTTCTAAGGGGTCATGGACCTTCCCTCATAGCTCAGTGGGTAAAGAATCTGCCTGCACTGCAGGAGACCTAGGTTTGATTCCTAGGTTGGGAAGATCCCCTGGAGAAGGAAATGGCAACCTACTCCAGTATTCTTGCCTGGAGAACCCCACAGACAGAGGAGCCTGGCAGGCTAGAGTCCATGGGGTCGAAAGAATCTGACATGACTTAGCAACTAAACCACCACCATCACCGTACTGCTTTTAATTTTTTTAATGTTTTATTTTCATTAAACTATTGTAGCTGAATTAATTTTTTTTCTTTACCCTAGAGACATATCACCTAAACTGTAACACATTGGTCATTTTACCTCCAAACCACGATGGAAGCACACCGACAAATTCTTTCTCCTTAAATATCCTCCCATACCCAAAGCAGACTGCCAAAAATCTTCCTTGCTCATACTGTTTCCTACCTTACTAAGGATATACTAAAATTAATTAGGCAACAGTTTATGTTCTTTTTGTTTCACACATGCCAAAATTTCAAGAAACATTCTACTCTTCACAGTAACACATTTGTTAACTGTAGCCTGTTAATTTTTTTAAATAACCACAATTATAAAATTTCCATTTTCTTGTAGTGTTTCTTAGCTTAATTTTTCTGGCCTTGTTCATCAATTCTTAAAATCAGCTACATTTGAAATGTCAGATCAGTTCAGTTCAGTTCACTTGCTCAGTCGTGTCTGACTGCGACTCCATAGACTGCAGCACACCAGGCTTTCCAGTCCATCACCAACACTGCGAGCTAGCTCAAACTCATGTCCATTGAGTTGGTGATGCCATCCAACCATCTCATCCTCTGTCGCCCCCTTCTCCTCCTGCCTTCAATCTTGAATGAGTCAGTTCTTCACATCAGGTGACCAGTGTTGGAGTTTCAGCTTCAGCATCAGCACTTCCAATGAATATTCTGAATTGATGTCCTTTAGGATTGACTGGTTTGATCTCCTTGCAGCCCAAGGGACTCTCAAGAGTCTTCTCCAACACCACAGTTCAAAAACATCAATTCTCCGGCGCTCAGCTTTCTTTATGGTCCAACTCACATCCACACATGACTACTGGCAAACCACATATTTGACTAGATGCGCTTTGGTCAGCAAAGTAATGTCTCTGCTTTTTATTTTGCTGTCTTGGTTGGTTATAGCTTTTCTTCCAGGCAGCAAGCGTCTTTTATTTCATAGCTGCAGTCACCATCTGCAGTGATTTTGGAACCCAAGAGAAGAAAGTGTCACTGTTTCCATTGTTTACCCATATATTTGCCATGAAGTGATGGGACTGGATACCATGATCTTACTTTTCTTAATGTTGAGTTTTAAGCCAGCTTTTTCACTCTCCTCTTTCACTTTCATCAAGAGGCTCTCTAGTTCCTCTTCGCTTTCTGCCATAAGGGTGGTGTCATTGCATATCTGAGGTTATTGATATGTCTCCTGGCAATCTTGATTCCAGCTTGTACTTCATCCAGCCCGGCATATTGCACGATGTACTCTGCATATAAGTTAAATAAGCAGCGTGACAATATACAGCCTTGACATACTCCTTTCCCAATTTGGAACCAGTTTGCTGTTCCATGTCTGGTTCTAACTGTTGCTTCTTGGCCTGCACACAGGTTTCTCAAGAAGCAGGTATGGTGGTCTAGTATCCCATCTCTTTAAAAATTTTCCAGTTTGTTGTGATTTACACAGTAAAACCTTTAGCATAGTCAATGAAGCAGAAGTGATTGTCTTCTGAAATTCTCTTGCTTTTTCTATGATCCAGCAGATGTTGGCAATTTAATCTCTGGTTCCTCTGCCTTTCTAAATCAGATACCAACTTTTAAATTATCTATTTTATTTTACCTATGGCAAAAAAACTACTTACAAGTTTGGTAGTAAGGAGAAGGGCGTCATCTGGTGGCCAATGCCAAAAATGTCACAGTGGTTTTATGACTATAGTGAGTGAGGCGGGCGGGTGGGGAGTGGGGTGGGAGGAGTAGGGCGAAGTCTTCAGAGGAAAGGAAAACACAAAAGACGAGAGTGGGCCACTTAGGATCACTTTTGGAGAAAAGCCCCTGAAATTTTGAGAAGGCAAAGATGAAACTATTCACCGGGTATTTGCATTGCTGCAATCACAGGGCGCTGTTGAGCTGCCTGAACTGGGAAAAGAACAGAAGGAAAACAAACAAATCTGGTGATCTTTGAGGCCACCTGCCAGCAGTTGGCTAGGCCCTGCTGGGAGGCACAGGCAAAACTTGGTCTTGTGTTATAATAATATAGCCTTAGAGTGCTGTGTACTTGATTCATTCTTCAGGTACATACACACACACATTAAAAAACAAAAGCCTTACTCTGAAATGCTGCAAGGTTCTTCTAAGCTACACAATCTAATCATGACTAGAATTTTTAAATGCATGACTTTAACCATTGAGGATATTTACAGATATCTCTAATTTTAATTTCTATTGACTTTGGGTCATCATTTTTTCCTCCACATTTTTGAACAAGTGATTAATATGTAGCTTTTAATACAGTATTAAATTATCTCTTTGACTATTTTACTAAAAATCCTCAGTTGCCCTGACATCCTGCATGCATTTATTACTTGGCCTAGAATGCATACTGGTATCTCACATATTCTGTTTCTGGATAATTCTCTAATGTGTTTACTCATATGTATGAGGGATACATATATTCTGCCTTAAGCAGATGCTTCTATAGCATCTACTTCTTGGCTGGATAAAATTGTATTCTCAGTAAAGTCTTCTTTAGCACGAATATTTCCTGAAAGTAATTTTTTGGTTTTTTTTTAGCTAATAGTTATTGAGTACTTACTAGATGCCAGGCCTTGTTCTAAATGTTAATTTAATTCCTCTGAAGAATCCTGTGACATGTAAGCTCTGGTTATTCTGTTACCCTTGTTTGGTTGTGTGGAAACCAAGGCACAGAGAGGTTAGTTAACTTGCTGAAGGTTACACAGCTGGAAAACTATCATGCTGAGTTTTTTTTCCAGCTAGCCTGGCTCAGAGGCACATTCCTAACCAATACACAATATCTCTCTCTGAGTCAAGAAAACATGTGGTTGATGCCATTGCATTTTTTCATGATACTACTTTAAGTAACCATTCTGATGCCTAGTGACCATACCTTGGATATTTCCAGAGTGAGGAGAGGACCAGTTTTAACATTTCAGAATGTTTTGTTTCACACAGGCCAAAATTTCAAGAAACATTCTACTCTTCACATTAACACATTTGTTAACTGTGGCCTCTTAATTTTTTTAAATAACGAGTTATAAAATCTCAATTTTCTATAATTTCTCATAAATACTTGGGAAATTTATCTTCTTTTCACATACAAAATTCTAACTATCAATTCACATTTCTGTTTATTCTCTTTATCATTCAGGGAGTATCACAATTTGGGTAGCCTTGAAGCACATGTGAATCATTTCTTCACCAGGTTTGGGTAGAAAGTATTGTTATTAAAAAAAAAAAAAAAAAAATCAAATTCTGGCTTTTGACCCAAAGATTCTAAAATAGAATTTTGCTATTTTCAGTGCATTTGGTGGGGGGCTGAGCATAATACCAATACTTGTATAAGCTTCAGTGAAAGTCCTGTCAGTTAACCTTACTCTGCAAGTCCATGAACTAGCCCAGATTTTATTCTCTAAACAGAGTGACCACAATGGCATTTTCGTAAAACAGTCAGCAAGAAACTTGGATAATGCCAATGGAGCTTCACTCAGTGTGTAAGAAAACATCTATTTTAAACATAGGTGTAATAAAGATCTTTCCTTTGTGTACTTTTGGGTTCACAGTTTCCACTACTAAACAAATGCAAAATCCTTTCTTTGTGCTTTGTGTGTGTGAGTAAGAAAGTATTCCATGGAATTTTAAAAATCAAATTTAACTACAAATGTGTTTATAAAAATTTTGAAACAATTGTTTAAGAAAGGATAATATTAGAAACTTGCTTGTCCAAATGGCATTTTCTTCAGTAGGTCAAAATGTGTTAAGAATATTTAGAGGAGAAAGCCCACACAAGGACAACAGGCCCAGAAAGTGCAAGTGCCAACAACTTTTGCAGGGTGGTTAGGATTTGACGCTTTGACTGCCATCACCCAGGGTCAATCCCTGGATGGGAAACTGAGATCCTGCAAGACATGCAGTGCAGCCAAAATGGAAAGAATAAAATCAAATAAAGAGGGAAAAGTAAGAACATTTTCTTAAAAGGGTAAGGGGAGGAAATGAGGAAAATAGGGAGAGACACAGTAGACGTATGTTATGGAACCAAAAACACACCAATGGGAATGACAGGAAAAATGAATAATTAGAACATAGGTCATACCAAAGTAAAGATTAGTTGACTGAAAAAGAGAAATGCATTGAAGAATTAGATGGGAAGGAGATAAATCAGCCAGCAGCGAGAGAAGCCCCAGACCAGGAGTGGTGTTCCCAAATGCCTGCAGCTCACTACTGTCAAGTTATAAATCCCTGGCAGGCTGGCGAAATGAGATAAGATTGTACTTATGCATTTCCTCAACTATAACATTGTTCAAAACTATCTCTATCCAGGGATTCCGTTTTACTAAAGTGCAATTATACCCTGAAAAGTGTTGATAGATGCTGGTAGTTTTCAACCCTGTCCAAGTATCAGAATTGTCTGTTGACTGTATATATTCCATGGAATGATATGCATAAATATATATATATTCCTGAACTCTAGTATTTGACTGAGTTTGTTTGTGATGGGTGGTTCTGGCATTTTATATCTTTAGAAGATATTTGGTCAACATCACTGTTTTATTTGTTGAAATATTTAATGTATCCATTTAGCCACAACTTGCTTGCAAGGTTTTAATTTGTAGGGTCTTGGTGACATAAATGGGGTTCTGTGATGCTAGGTTCATTCGGAGGATGAGTTCCAGGTGACCCACTCTCTTCCAAGCCATAGGACCAAGTAACACCTGGCTTGTTCAAGAGCAGAAGGATACATTTTTAACATAAATCTATATTTGTATACCCTTTAAATATTTCTGTTCTGACAGTTATGACTTTTTGAGTCAATGTTATTGAGAAAAGTTTAGAAAAGAAGAAATTGGGAGAAGAGAATAAGAAAAAGGAACTATATTGTACCTTCATGAATTAAAAAGCATGTGGAGATTTCATGTTTACATATGAACTCTGACCTCATACTTTTCCTCTGTAATGTTTGACACTTCTTCCTAGCTATGTCGCCTTTATAAGGTGCAGGTTCATAGTGGGAGAGGGTGTTGAAAGTCAGGAGTCTAAAAACTCTCAATTTGGGGCAGAAAATGTAACCCCATCTAATTAGTTTAGAAGTGATATAAACCCTGTGCCATACAGAGCTTTCCTGCCCTCTCCTGGGTCTTTCCTCTCCATTACTGGGTCTCTTCTCCCTTTTTGCCTAAGTCTGATGTTATAGTGTAAGGTCACATTCTAAGCCTCCCCAGTAGACATTTATCTATTAACCAGGATTGGGGTGGGGGTGGGGGTTGGGGGAGAAGTCTTTTTCTTTTTCAATTTAACTAGAGTGACTCTTACTGTGGAAATTTTCAAAAGCTGCAACTAAAAACTAAAGAGAAGCTTTTTGATTGAGAAGTCCTTTTCAAACCATATTCAGATCCAATTCTATTTTGCTTAAAATCAAAAACAAAAAAACAGGGACTAGCCTGTCCATAACCCTCTGTAATCTTATCAAAAGCCTCCCAGGTGAGGGCCCTGTAGGCTTAGTAATGACCTTAATCAAGTATTAGCCCCATCCTACTATTAATCCCCAACTCTACAAAACATGTGTTCTTGTCTCTAAAACTTAAGAAGGTTGAGAAAGGACTAATGGAAAAGAGAAAGGGGCTTTTAAGAATTGAAGCCCAATCAGACAGGTGCAGAAGGCCATGAAGAGGGTCCAGGGACAACTGATTACTGAAGCCTACTTTTAAGTTCCTTCTCTCACATGTATTTGCCGAAAAAGGAGTCACGCAGTACATGTTTGAATGGAGAAAGAGAAGAAAATAGTTTTAATTTGCAATTGTTTGTCTATTTCTTTAGTCTTTCCATACACAGGAGTTTTAGTACCAGAGCCTCTTTATGGCCAGGCTTATAGTTTGTCTCATTAAAATGCGGCCTTTAAAATTGAAACAAACGAATTGAAAGGGAAAGTCCCATCACCCATAATTCTATGTTCCTTTACATATTATTTTTATATCCCCCAAAGAACCATTATCTAATTTATTAGTTTTGCTTGCTCGTGCTCTCGTGTCCAACTCTGCGACCTCATGGACTGTAGTCCGCCAGGGTCCTATGTCCATGGGATTTTCCCAGGCAAGAATGCTGGAGTGCGGTGCCATTTCCTCCTCCAGTGGATCTTCTCCATTCAGGGATGGAACCCGCGTCTCCTGCACTGGCAGATGCATTCTTTACCACTGAGCCAACTGGGAAGCCCTAGTTTGTTAGTTACCGAGCTATGATTGAAGGCAGGAGAAGGGGAGGACGGGATGGTTGGATGGCATCAGCGACTCAATGGACATGAATTCCAGCAAGTTCACGGCGATGGTGAAGGTCGCAGAGTAGGACACGGCTGAGCGACTGAACAACAACAACAAAAGGTTATAAAAAAGAAATTTGAAGTGGAGCTCTTTGCTCCATGTCCTTGAGCTGATAAGAAAACACTCAACTTGCAAACGCGTACACAAAAAAGTGCAAGACAAAAGAGAAACTAAAGCTTTCTTTCTTTCTTTTTTTTTTTTTTTTAAAGCTTTCTTTCGATTGAAGGCCACCTCCGCTGCCAGGAGCTCAACTGAAGACCGAGGTTTTCTGACCAATGAAAACACTGAAATGTTAATAACCCTCTCCTTGCCCCACCCCCTGATGACCTAATTTGGAAAAGCCACCTGAGCGTGTTGTTTTCAATCAGGTCCGCTAGAATGCTATTTAAAGGGCAGTGCCAAGTCCGTGGGGTTACAGCGGCAGCAACCATGTCTGGTCGTGGTAAGGGTGGTAAAGGTCTTGGTAAGGGAGGCGCTAAGCGTCATCGCAAAGTCTTGCGGGACAATATCCAGGGTATTACTAAGCCAGCTATCCGGCGTCTTGCTAGGCGTGGTGGGGTCAAACGTATCTCTGGTCTTATCTACGAAGAGACTCGTGGGGTGCTGAAAGTGTTTCTGGAAAATGTGATCCGGGACGCGGTCACCTATACGGAGCACGCCAAGCGCAAGACTGTTACCGCCATGGACGTCGTCTACGCGCTCAAACGTCAGGGCCGTACTCTTTACGGTTTTGGTGGTTGAGCAAAGTTTTGCTTGAAACGTTTGAGAACCTAAAGGCCCTTTTCAGGGCCGCCCAAACACTCGGTAAAGAGCTGTGGACGTTACTGAGGTGTGAGTAAAGAAGTACTTTAACTGTGAAAAGGAGTTGCCTTAACGCAGTTCCATATCCATACTTCCGAGGGGTTGGGAAGTGACTTTTTCATAATGGAAATAGGGGTTTAGACTCGGTAAAACCACCAATAAAAATACTGGCGTTTTGTGTATTTCGATGTCCAGCCTTCAAACTGGTTGGCGGGTTTAATGGCACAAAGCTTCGCGTTCTCGCCCACACAATACATAACTATGTCAATAAGGGCTCTTTGGGGACAAGCTTTCATTGGCCGATTCTCACTATGGTGAAAAAAAATCCGCTTTTCTGTTAGCCAAGGCATGGAGCTTCATAAGGGTACCCGGAACAATCCGATTTATGCCAGGCTCTGAAGGACGCAGGAACAAAGGCACAGAGTGGTCTAACCGGTTCCGCACAGGTTCCAGTAGTGCTTGGCAGTCGGCCCACTGCTGGGTGGGATGAAGCCAGCCTCCTTTTCCTCTGCGGTGAGTCTCGAGTACAGAAAATGGGCTTAACTGCCTTTTTTAGCAAGTGAATAATTTTCCTTCACTACCCCGACTCCGTAAAACAGTGGCCACTTTACCGAAAGTTCTGGGCTGTGGCTGATTCTATACAAATCAAAACACACAAATCGAAACCATTGTGTTTAGTCCTTTTCCAAACAGGAAATAATTTTTCTTCAGAGGTCCGATTATACAAATTAATTCAGACAGTATATGTCCTAGTGAATCATCTGTAGAACAAGGCTGTATGTGAAACTGCTTAAATTACATAGTTTTGCATTGAGTTTGTTCGAAGTCGCCCCAAATACCAAGGCCCAAAACAAGATGAACAGTATAAATGTATTATTTACGAGGATCTTTAAATACGGCTAAATTACAAATTAAGTAAAAACAAACTAAATTGTTTAAAGTGGAAAAGATGCTTTTCCTAATACAAGCAGGTTTATAAAGGTCACATTGAGCTCCCAACATCTCCATACATGGTTTAACATTTTTCAGCCTGTGTAGGGCAATATGAACAAGACACTCTTCATTGACAACCAGAATTATATAAGACTATATTACAAAACCAAATTTTAATATATGTGCTTAACATATAGAAAATAATCTGACAGCTTTCATAGTAACGAAGACAAAAATTTCAATATTCTTGCAAATGTAAAACGAAAACGTTTGCTTTACACAAAATCACAGTGGAAAGATGTTTAGTAAGTAAAACTTCCCACTAACCCAAATTGAGACCTTGGTTTCCCTATATTAACCCCTGTTAAGCCCATGGATACGAAGTTCAGAACCCTTATACAGAATGATACATAAAAGTACATATTGGAGAATTAGGCGGAGAAAAGAAACAAAACATGGTAAAACAGTTGAGGCACGGAGCAGATCTCCGCTCAGAAACTAGACCTAAACTTTAAACGTAGTAGCTCTCAAGGAGTAATTCTCTAGCTGGGCAGATGGTAAAGAATATGCCTGCTAATGCAAGATACCTGGGTTTGATCCCTAGATCAGGAAGATCCTCCTAGGGAAGAGAATGGCTGCCCCTTCCAGTATTCTCAGAGCATTTAAGAACTTAAGGAATGTGCCCTGGTTTTGTTAGGATGGACAATTCTCTGGAATTGGACAATAACCACGGTAAAGTATCTGTACTGTATGTCCAATAAGATATATTTCACTACATCACAGGTTCGTTTATCAAACACTTAGGCTAACCAGTAGTCTTCTTCCAGACACTTCTGGAAGCGATGTTACAACCCTCCTAAAATCACTTAGGTGGCTCTGAAAAGAGCCTTTGGGTTCTACGGAAACTGGTTTTTGAAGAAACGTTACTTCTTGGTTGTTGCTTTCCTAGTATTAGTTTTCTGCTGGGTCAACTTAGGATTCCCAGTTTGGGGCTTTCCTGCCCTGGCCTTCGCTGGGCTCTTCCGTTGTTGCTTGTCTTTGGTTCTTTTAGCTTTTTGCCCATTCCTAGCAGCCTTCTGAGCCGCCGTGGTCCTCGGCTTCTTAGCTCTTTTGTTGGTTTTGCCATTCTTCGGAGACTTTGAATCTCTGGATAAGACCAGCTTCCTACTCTTCGCAGAAGCACGTTTTTTGACTTTTCCCTTACTAAGCTCAGGAGCAGCCTTCTTGCTGAGCTTGAAAGAGCCAGAGGCACCGGTACCCCTAGTCTGAATCAGGATCCCCTTGGTCACCAGGCCCTTGAGACCCAGCTTGATGCGACTGTTGTTCTTCTCCACGTCGTAACCTGCGGCTGCCAGCGCTTTTTTCAGCGCAACCAAGGACATACCAGTTCTCTCCTGGGACACCGAAAGCGCCTCAGTAATCAGCTTGGACACTGATGCGCTTGCCGTCTTCCGATTCACACCCGTCAAGCCAACCGGCTTCTTTCCCCGCTTCCTAGCTGGAGGTTTCTCCATGGAAACCGGAACCTGGTCGGCTGGTGCGGCAGGCGCAGTCTCACACATAACAGCAAAGAAAAGCACAAGATACCAAAAAGCAAGTACCTTAAAGTGCCAAGGGTGGGTGGGGGGTGGTTGGGCCTCAGGGCCTTATATAGGGCAGGGTGCGCTGTGATTGGTTCATCGCTCAGGCACCGCCCCCGCCCCTTGGAGGAGGAGCATTTGTGTTTGTTTCACTTCCAAAAATTGAATATCTCAAAAATCTCCTGCACGGAATTGCCCAGGTTCCACTGCCAAATAACCCATAGAGATACAGATTTCAGATGCCTTTTCAATTTTTAATGAAAAATGACTCTGCATGCCAAAGCTATTCAATAAAGCTCTCAATTGTCACCAAAATTCAAAGAAAGGAACAAAACTTCCTCTTTTCCTTGTAAATATAAAAGTAATTTTTAACAAAAGACTTATCTCATTTCTCCTGAGTGGTCTTCCAAATGGTTGGCTTCCAGTCGGTGGAAAAAATAAATTATTCACACCTTTATTCTAGTTGAAAATTATTTATGTACATGAGGGAAGTAACACAGATATCTTAGAGGTCTCACTGCAGACTTGAAAGATGCTTTTAGAATTGTTGAAAAAACTTCAGGTACGGTACCACCTTATTTGGGCAAACACAATCTAATAAACCATGATCTACAGACATATGAATTGTTTGTGACTAAAATAACTTCTCAGTCTCCATAGCTTGATAGCAGACCCTCAAGTAAATAATATGGATCTCACACATGATATCTGCTTGGCCAAAATCAGGTCCCCTTGTGGCTGGCGTCCTAAACTGAGTTTTGTTTCTGATTTCATTAGTTAAAACCTTACCCCTATGTCCACCCCCGACTCCTTCACACTTCACTGTAAAACAAACAAACAAACAAAAAACACAAAAAACCTCAAGGAAACAAATACAATCCCTCCCCTTAATATAAAATGTGAGGCAGGAACCCGTATATGAAGAGCTCATTGGAAACCACAGACCCAGATCTCTAAAAGGACTGGGGTGTGTCTACAGAGCTGTGCGGAAATAAAGATTACAATAATGTATTCATTCTTCTTCTGAAATACTTCAGAGGAAATCAGATGATGAGACTTTCAAACTTCTGATTGCAAAGTAAAATGGAAAAATCTCTTTCACTCCGCTTCACATCCATGTGCCCACATGTGCACCTACACACAAACATCTGAAACAAAACTCTGAAAACAATGCTACCTTAAGGGCTCTCTGATATATTTTAATTTAGCTCATTTTATTTTTTAAAAAGGCTGGTTGTAAATCATGAGATTGATTTCACAGCCTACTAATACATTCTGACCCTCTGTTTGAAAATTTCTTCTCCTTAGATTACAAGTGCATCTTACTGAGGACTCTCTTTTAATGTGTATTTGGTTTCCCTGAACTTTGGTGATCCCTTAGAAGTTGTGCCATTAAATGTCAGTGATTTAGGGTTGGGTTATGGAATGAACAGAATCTATCATTGCTGTAAAAATAACAGAGAATGGGATTTTTTTTAATTCTTAGATTCCATAATGTAATATTCATAGAAAAAAGATTCATATTTTGCATTATAAATCTAAAATATACCATAAAACAAACTCACACATAGATACAGTATATATGTGAGAATCATTGTCCCAAGTACTTTTCCCTCAAATAATAAAAAAATGCAGGAATTCATTTTATATATGAGGAACTTGAGTCACAGAAAAGTCACATAACTTGCCTAAAGTCTTAGCGCTAGTGAACAGGAAAGCTGGGACTTCATTTCAAGAAGTCTGGCTTCAAAAGGCTCTGCTTCTCCCACCTCACTCTTAGTCTTCTCAGGCTCCTCAAACAAAATAGACTGCGTGGCTTAAACAATAGAAATTTATTTCTTCACAGCTCCGGAGGCTAGAAAAGACCAGGGTGCCAGCATGGTCAGGATCCGGTGACACCCCTTCTCCTATCCTATAGGCGGCTGCCTTCCTGCTTTGTCCTTACACAGTCCTTCTTTAGTGCATGCGCGCCAGGAGAGTGATGGCTCCCTCTTTCTCTTCTTGTGAGACCTGGAATCCTATTGGATTAGGGACCCATCTTTATGACCTCTTTAACCTAAATTACCTCCTAAAAGCTCTGTCTCCAAATATAGTTACAAAGGCGGTTAGGGTCTTAGCAAATGAATTTTGGAGAGGGGTGGTGCATAAGTCAATCCATGGCGACACTATTCTCATGTACTGGTTAGGAGGTTTATATGAGACAATGTAGGTAAAACTAGTTTTAGTTACACAGGGCCAAACATGGTTCATTATTCCAGCATTGTCCTGGACAGAGGAGGCACCTGATACATATTCGTTTCTTGATCTTCACCTAAGATCTTACCTACTTATTCTTTACATGATGCTTTCCCATGGAATGATTGCAGTCACGTCCACTATTTAATAGCAGTTTATTTTTTATGGGGTCATGGCTAATAAAAGCATGGGGAAAACTACCTCCACTCATAATGAAGGAAATTACATTTCAATTTTTTTTAATCTATCTGGTTAACAATGCTTTAAAAGTGTTCTCAGTAAAAATGACAGCTATGAAAACAAGAATTTTTAAATTACACTAGGATTATAAACTGGCATAGTCCTTCTGAAAGGCAATTTGACAATGTATATATTAAGAACATTAAAAAATGATTTTACCTTGTGATTTAGTATTCTACTTCTAGAAGTCTATTCTAAGGAAATAAATATTTAAACAAAGATTTACATACAAAGAAGTGTGAGCTATATGATTTATAATGCATAAAAATGGAACTCAATCTATATAGTAATATACCCATTAAAAAATGTGTTTCTAGGCATATTACCTAGAAAATTCAATATGTGTACATACATAGCATGATACCTAAATTTGGTTTTTAAATGACATTTTTATAGGTGAATCTCATATATGTTCATATTCATATATTCATAGGTCTTATATACATATAGAAAAGAGATACTAAGATTTGTTTTAATTTTCTTTGTTATGTATTTTTCTTCTTGCAAATTTCTCAAATGACCATTTAATATTTTTATACTCAAAATAAATGCTTTAAGCAGGTTCTCATTGATTTTTCTGTGATTGTTGAAAATATCTTTTATCTGCTTCTGGTATCAGTCATTTTCATTGACTTATTTGTGAGATATAATAAAGTCCAGCGGTGACCAGTAGTGGGAAAATACTTTTCTAAAGCCCATTTGCTCCTCCTGTAAAAAGAGAGATTGATTGATTAATTCACTTCTATAATTCATCAAATATCTGATACTGTACTTGACTCAGAACAACAATAATCACAATGGCTAATGTTCATTGGGTGTTTATTCTGTGCTGGGCAGTGCTCTAACCACTTTATAGGTACCAGTGCATTTATTTTTGCACAAGCTTCTGAGGTACCTATAATGGCACTCCATGGTTTATAGTTGAGGAAATTAAGGCTCAGAGAGATTGAGTTTCCCAGGCGGGACAGCTGTTGGATGGTGTGCCATCCTCTAGAGTAAACCCAAACCCTCCAGTACTTGAGTCTGCATGCACTCCTAAATAAAAGATGAGCATGCTCTAGTTAGCATCCAGTAAGTCAGGTTTGAGTTAAGTCTTGAAGGGCAGGTAGTCATTTATCAGGTGAGGAAAGAGTGTTAGGGCTTTTCACAAAGGAGACATAGTAACAAAGGCCAGGTGGTGGGGATTTTCTAGGGTGAGCTGCTTTGTGGTGAGCCTTGTGGAACCTCTTGTGAGGAATGAGGAAGGCGCTTGCATGATGACAGGTTGATGAGTTACAGCTTGTTGGAACACGTTAAGCAGTTTGAACAGTTCCCAGAGGCCTCCCTTCTCTCAGATCCTTATCCCTCTGGGCTGCTAGCAGATGAAGTTATTCCCCACTTTTAAATAAGCCAAATCAAACTATCTAATGGAAATATACCCAAATGCTTCGTCTCTTTCTTGGGTTGTTACAAAGTGCATTTTCCAACTCCTCTTCAGGTGCTGGAAGAAAGAGACAAGTACCCAAGACACTTCCAAAGTAGAACATATAGGGCTTTGATTTCTCCTTTTCTCATTCCTGGGTCTTCCTCCAAGAGCTGGGTAAGCACTTTGCAACTAACATTTTATTGTTTGAGAATAAACTGAGTTAACAGAGAAAAGCACTTAGACTAGTAGCTGGCTCATACTAAATGCTCCACTAGTGTTAGCTACTCTTGTTGTATTGAACATTTTAATGAGTGCTAATATGCAGATTATATCTACCGATCCTCTTGATTCTGCTGTTTTACATTTTCCCTTTCCATAGCACTAATTCCTTTCTCATATTCTATATAATTACTTATTGTAACTACTGTTTGTTGCCTATCTTTCCTGACTGAGATGTAAGCTCCAAGAGGACAGTGACCTTTGTATTTTTCCAAAAGATCGTCACTGAAGATAGCTCCTTAGCCTCTAAACCAATAAGAACCAGAGGATGGTCCTTAGGGCCAAAGAAGAAAGGGAAGGAACCCTTCCTTAGACCATCCTGCAACTCTATCTACATTCCTTCTGTGGTGGAACTATCAAAGATGGAGTTCTAGCATATGTGGGAGGCTAAAAACCAAGAAAAGCAGAGCATGTGCAAATCTGATGCAGTATAGAACATGAGAGAAAGAAACCACAGACAGAGGGCAGGGGAAGAACCCATCAAATTGTGTTTCATGTCAGTAAATGTAAATAAGTCATTAGACATTTGACCAAACCCATAGTACGTACAACATCAAGAATGAATCCTAAGGTCAACTATAGACTATGGGTGATCATGCTGTTGTGTCCATATAAGTTCATCCTTGGTTGGTTAAATATATATATACCATTCTGATGAGTGATGTTGATAATGGGAAAGACTACATGTGTATGTGGTGGGAGAGGTAGGGGATATTTTAGAAATCTCTGTCCCTCCCCTCAATTATGTTGTAAACCTAAAACTGATCTAAAAATATCTTATAAAAATATACATGTACAAAAAAAAATCCAATTCACTCACACTATTTATGTCTAGAATTGATGGGAGTCAGGCTCAGTCTCGGATGCTTAGAGTCAAGGATGCTGAGCACTTTCCAGAACCTCCAAAAAACTTTTACCCTGATGCTCGCTGGTATCCTTGACCCACCTTGGAGGCTAGCAGGCATTCTTCTTTTTAAGATCTCAGAACTTGCATCATCTCTGTAGAATTCTTAAATATGTAATTGTATTTGTTTCTTTCCATTTTTAAAAATATATGTATTTCAGTGCAATAAGGCCAAAATGCATGTGTTTAAAAATCTAGTGAGTAACATCTATCATCTGAATTGTTCATGCAAATCCAGCAATAAAAAGGGCACATTTAAGTCTTTGATATTTTTATATCTTGTCCTACAACTGAGATAAGGTCAATTCTATTAGGAAAACAAGTGAAAAGAAAAACAAAGAAGAGAGAAGGGGAGTACAGGAGAGAAAAAAGAAAATGAGAATAAGGTTTTATTTTTATTGCTTTTGAAGCCAATTCTTTTACTGTTTGAGAACTTGGGCTGAAAGTGATAAGGTCAAGGTTTTACCCCAGTATCTCCTCCTCGATGTATGTCAGTTTCCTACAAAATGAGACAAGCCTCAGCATTTTTGTTCCTTCATCCCTCTGAGCCTGCAGCTGGGACATCTAACACCATGAATACACATAGAAAGACAAAACTAGCTCTTTCTATTAATTACAATACAAATTGCTTATTAGATGATAAGGTTATGTGAGTCTTTAAGCAAATCAAAACCTCATTTTCCTCTCTTAGAACTGAGGTGGGACAAAAAGAATGTCACTGATTCTCCAAATTTACTTTCTTTTTCCTAATTTACAATAAATGTATAGTACCTGAGGATACGTCAAGCTGATTTTCAGAGTCCAAGAAGTTGAATCAGAGTCTAGATTTGCTGACAAGTTCACAGGCAACTGTGTATTTGGCCCAATTTATGTTTATGCTTAGTCATCCAGGATTGCACAAGGTGAAAGTTTGGAAAAGTTAACTCATTTTTAATGCTTTTGAACTTAGGTCTGTTGGACTGCAAAGTACTGAATCTACACATCCTTACAAATCTGGAAGTTCCAAGACAAATGATAGCTATCCTTCTATATGTCCTTAGGTATATGCTTACGGACCTAATCAAGTATAAATGGAGAAAGAAAATTCATGTTCATTCGACTTGCTGGACCAAGGTAAATTCAATGGAATCCACTGGCAATCTTTTTATATTGCTTTTGAAATTCCATCACTTAAGAAAGACCAGCTCCTATTAAGATCTTAAGTCATAAGCTACCTTAGTTTTCATTCCAATCCCAAAGAAAGGCAATGCCAAAGAATGCTCAAACTACTGCACAATTGCATTCATCTCACATGCTAGCAAAGTAATGCTCAAAATTCTCCAAGCCAGGCTTCAACAGTATGGGAACCGTGAACTTCCAGATGTTCAAGCTGGATTTGGAAAAGGCAGAGGAACCAGAGATCAAATTGCCAACATCCATTGGATCATGAAAAAAACAAGAGTTCCAGAAAACCATCTACTTCTGCTTTATTGACAATGCAAAGCCTTTGACTGTGTGGATCACAATAAACTATGGGAAATTCTGAAAGAGATGGGAATACCAGACCACCTGACCTGCCTCTTGAGAAATCTGTATGCAGGTCAAGAAGCAACAGTTAGAACCAGACATGGAACAATAGACTGGTTCCAAATAGGAAAAGGAGTACATCAAGGCTGTATACTGTCACTCTGCTTATTTAAATTATATGCAGAGTACATCATGAGAAATGCTGGGCTGGATGAAGCATGAGCTAGAATCAATATTGCCAGGAGAAATATCAACAACCTCAGATATGCAGTTGATACCACCCTTATGGCAGAAAGTGAAGAAGAACTAAAGAGCCTCCTGATGAAAGTGAAAAAATTGGCTTAAAACTCAACATTCAGAAAACTAAGATCATGGCATCTGGTCCCATCACTTCATGGCAAACAGATGGGGAAACAATGGAAACAGTGACAGACTTTATATTTTGGGGCTCCAAAATCACTGCAGATGGTGACTGCAGCCATGAAATTGAAAGACGCTTGCTCCTTGGAAGAAAAGTTATGACCAACCTAGACAGCATATTAAAAAGCAGAGACATTACTTTGCCAACAAAGGTCCGTCTAGTCAAAGCTATGTCTTTCTAATAGTCATGTATGGATATAACAGTCAGATTATAAAGAAAGCTGAGCACTGAAGAATTGATGCTTTTGGACTGGTGTGTTGGAAAAGACTCTTGAGAGTCCCTTGGACAGCAAGGAGATCCAACCAGTCCATCCTAAAGGGAATCAGTCCTGAATATTCATTGGAAGGACTGATGCTAAAGCTGAAACTCCAGTTCTTTGGCCACCTCATGTGAAGAACTGACTCATTTGAAAAGACCCTGATGATGGGAAAGATTGAAGGCAGGAGGAGAAAGGGACGTCAGAGGATGAGATGGTTGGGTGGCATCACCGACTCAACAGACACGAGTTTGAGTAAATTCAAGGAGTTGGTGATGGACAGGGAAGCCTGGTGTGCTGCAGTCCATGGGGTCACAAAGAATCGGACATGACTGAGCGACTGAACTGAACTGAACTGAAAATAGAACAGTTCTCAAAGATCATCTTTATGGATTTAAGTTAAATAGGTGTCATTTTTCCTAATTGCAGCTTTAACTACTTGAGCCATACCCAGAAATAGATTATGGAGTACACCGTCTTTTGTTTAAGAACTTTTAGTCAAGGTACAGAGGACTAGGTTCTAAGGATTTTTTAAGTATTTTCAAATACTCATGAGTCCTCATTCGCTCAGTAATGACCCCATGTACTATAGCTAGCCAGGCTCCTCCGTCCATGGAATTTTCCAGGCAGGAATACTGCAGTGAGTTACCATTTCCTCCTTCAGGAGATCTTTCCAACCCATGACTCAAACCTATCTCATGTGACTCCTGCATTGGCAGGCACTGCGCCACCTGGGAAAGCGAAACACAAAGATTCTTCTAATACTTGGGAGGAACAAATTTGAAATCTAATCATTGGAAAAACTGATAATGGAGAAAAGGTCAAAGAGTAACACAAAAGGAAGAAGGAAAAAGTGATCTATTCTAGATCTCATCTTGATCTGTGGAATCTTAAGAGGAAGAATTCCTACTTCCCAAATTCTGAAAATCTTTTAGTA